ATATATATATATATATATATATATTGAATGTTGAATCATCCATGTGTTACCTTCCTGGTTGGACTTCATTTTTAAAGACACGAAGTTCGCTGTAGGCTGGACAATATTTCATTTCTGAATACTTTTATAAATATTTATCTATTGGATTAACAGGAGGATGTTCTTTATGCCAGAGTGCGGACAACTGGTATTGTTGACATCCAGTTCAGGTAGGAGAAGCTATTCAGATGTCTTCGCTTTGCAACATATCTTCATACCTTTCTCAATTACACTTGGTTGGCTGACATTCTTTGTTTACGTTCATTCCTATGTATAACTGAGTTTGAATTTAACTCTTTTTTAGCCCAATCAATTTAAAAATAAGAAGGGCAATTTTGTGTATATCATCAAAATCTCTGCTATTTACAAAATTACCATAATCATTTCTTTTTACAATAAAAATTCATAACTAAACTATTAACTCAATATTTTTAACAATTTCTTAATGATTTGGTGGCAACACAAACAAATACATGAGTACGGTAGTTTTTTTATTTGGTTTGAGTGGTTATTTATATATAGACTTGATTTAAAATATACATATATATATATAGACTTGATTTCAGTGGTATGTACGTTATTTTTTTTTCAAAAGAAAAATATGCTATTTTTGATCTATCCCTTTTGTTTCTAGCCTTTTGCATTAATCCTATAGCTCTATTTATAGTGCTGATTCTTCCACTCTCCATTGTTTATGCATTTATTATCTCTATTTTCTTTGTGATGCGAATATTTTCACTTCAATGTTACCGTTATCAGCAATCCCTGGCAATTCCCTATGTCTACTTTACTCCAGCTTGCAAATTAGTGCCTTTTTTGTCATCCAACTCACATATCCATGCAAGATAATATACCATTCTTACTGCTATTTTATCAAGGTTCTCGGCGGCAATGATTTTTTATTTTTTCAAAACATTTTATTAGTTGCTCACATCATTTTGCCAGTTTATATTAGTAAGAAAGCTTTTCTATATATGTATTTTTTCTTTAACGAATCGGGATAGTATTTGCTGGGCTGTTTATGTTGATGTTTGATTTATTGTGATATAAAACATATATGAGTTATCATGCCTCTAGGGACTGGCACTAATATTCAGAATGCAGTGGACTCTTTTTTTCTGTTTATTTTGTCGAACCAGGATCAATGACCGGTTTAAAAGGCAAACATTTTGTCTAAGCCTGTTCATTGGGAGGCTAATAGGTTACTATTTGGGACTTTGATATCCTACATCTTTTGTTATCCCACCTCAAATCTTCAAACCTGGCCACCATGTGCACATGTTGGCGTCAGTGTGGTTTAGCTCGGGAAGTTGGATCGGATCCACTTTTATTTCTATCTTTTTCTCTCTACCCTTTTTAATTCACAACATTAAGATGCCTGTGATGTTAAGGATCATGATGGATGCTTATGTGCCTAATATTTATATCAGTCTAAGGTAGCTGAAGGGGATCTAGGATAGAAATTGCAAAGGATAAGGGAAATGAATCCTTTTGTAAGTTTTTCTATGCCTCTCTGTGAAGCTACACGTGTACAACCACAACCACATCTATCTCTTTGGTATTGGATGGGGAATTGCAAAGATGGGAGGAAGGCAGATGGAGATCAAAGGCATGCTGGTTTCCAAGCACTTGAATAGAGACGGAATGAGAGGTAGAGATGATGGGTGGTAGCAACAATTGCTTGAGTCGCTCCAAAATTTTCTATCTCATATATATGAAAATTATCAGCTTCTTTTTTAATTATTTATTTTTGGATTTGTTAAATCCATTCAATCACCAATTGGTTATGCAATTAGATCATCGACATGCTAGTGTAGATAATATTGCATTTCACCACTCTTCAGGTTTTTTATGGATGTATTTTTTACCAGTGATTCTAACTTCTAAGATGTATTTTGTGCTCACTTTCTTCATTTCATTACATGGTACTCTTTGATGCAATTTAGCAAGTCTAATTGGAGGCTTCATGATGAGGTCATCGACAGACGTTATCGATGAGTATATCAGCGCAGGAGTTGAGATCGATGGCTACGATCCACAGTCTTTATTTTTGATGCTTAGTCTTTATTTTTGATGCTTAGTCTTTATTTTGATGTTTTTATGTTTTAATTGCTATTTACGGATGTACCCTTTCTGTTGAGTCTGCTTGAGTGGTAGCCCCAGGGGCATATGAGTCATTG